ATTGCTAAGGTGCCAATGTCTAAAAATAGAATGTTCTCACTCAACATTCAAAATGATATTGCCAAATGTCTGAAGACCTGTTATAAAGATGCTTCTTGGCTCTGGCATCTTCGATTTGGGCATCTCAACTTTGGAGGACTCGATTTGCTTTCAAAGAAAGAGATGGTGAGAGGATTACCTTGCATCAACCACCCTGATCAATTATGTGAAGGATTTTTACTCGGAAAGCACTTTAGGAAAAACTTTCCAAGGGAGTCAAGTTCAAGAGCCCAAAAGCCTCTTGAGCTCATACATACAGATGTCTGTGGTCCAATAAAGCCAAACTCACTCGGTAATAGCAACTATTTTCTTCTCTTCATGGATGATTTTTCACGAAAAACATGGGTGTATTTCTTAAAACAAAAATCAGAGGTTTTTGGAATATTCAAGAAGTTTAAGGCAGATGTAGAGAAAGAAAGTGGTCTCAAGGTCAAAGCTATGCGATCTGATCGAGGAGGAGAATTCACTTCAAAAGAATTCCAAGAATTTTGTGAAGCCAACGAAATACATCGACTTCTAATTGTTCCAAGATCCCCCTAACAAAATGGAGTAGCAGAAAGGAAGAATAGAACCATCCTCAACATGACAATGAGCATGTTAAAAAGCAAGAAATTGCCGAAGGAGTTTTAGGCAGAAACGGTTGCATGTGCTGTTTATTTGGCTAACCGATCACCAACAAGAAGTGTGTTGGGAAAGACACCACAAGAAGCATGGAGTGGAAGGAAGCTCGGCATCTCTCATCTACGAGTTTTTGGATGCATAACTCATGTACACATACCCGACGAGAAAATAAGTAAGCTGAATGAGAAGAGCGAGAAGTTCATTTTCATTGGTTACGACAACAACTCAAAAGGCTACAAGTTATACAATCCAAATACAGGGAAAAAAATCATCAGTAGAGATGCCATATTCGATGAAGGTGAAGAATGGGACTGGGGACTACATGCTGAGGACTACAACTTTTTCCCATACTTTCAAGAAGAAGACGTAGAGCAGTCAAGGATCGAGGAAGAAAGAGAAGAATCTACTACTCCACAAACAACAAGTAATCAAAGCAACTCATCGTCATCAACTTCAAGAGAAAATTCAAGTGAAAGAGTACCATGCTTCAGAAGATTAGAGATCTTTATGAGGTAACTATGAATCAAGATAATCTTACTCTTTTTTGTCTCTTTGCCGACTGTGAACCCATGGACTTCCAAGAAGCCATACAAAGCAAGAACTGGAAAGATGGAATGGATGAAGAAATTAAGGCGATCGAGAAGAACGACACATGGGAGCTGGCTTCACTTCCTAAAGGGCATAAGGCAATTGATGTGAAGTGGGTGTACAAAGCGAAGAAGAATTCCAAAGGAGAAGTTGAAAGATACAAGGCAAGATTGGTGGCAAAAGGCTACAGTCAAAGAAACCTATTAAAGGAGTTAAGTTTATCACAAGAAGAAACGATCAAGATTTGTATCGATAACATGTCTACAATATCGCTAGCAAAAAATCCAGTTATCCATGATAGGAGCAAACACATTGATATGTGTTATCACTACATCAGAGAATGCATCAAAAGAAAGATGATACAAGTGCAGCTGGTAAAGTCTCAAGATCAAGTTGCACATATTTTTATCAAGTCACTCAAGAGTGAAGACTTGATTAAAATGAGAAGTTTACTTGGATTCATAAAATCAAATTTAAGAGGGGGTGTTGAAATATAAGCTTGATTTTAGTTGTTTAAATAAAACCTAATATGAGCTTAATTTCTAGAAACATGTTTCATCTAGAAGCTTATTCTAGAATGTGTGATATGTATGAAATTATTATATGGTATGTATGAAATTATTTGTAATCATTAGATTATAATTGTAGTGACACAATCCTAGTCATTAATTTAAGAAGGGTCACTAGAATAAATAGAGGTGGAGTCTTTGAGTTTGTATCAAGCCAAATAAATATGCTAAATAGAAGTAAATCTTCTTTCATAAATTTTTAACCTTCGTCAAATTCTAAAAACTTCTCCATTCCAACATGTTGATCTCGTCAAATTCAAGAAAAAAAACTGAAGTTTTTGAACTCTGAATTTCTTTCATCATGCTGTCAGAAACTCTGAAAGTCGCAAAAGAATTTTTGTGGTCGAATACCTCATAGTCAAGAGGCATCGAACGTAGTAAAGTCAAAGTCAAGTTGATTGTTGTGTTCATGAACTACAGAGAGAGAGAGAGAGTTAAAAGAAGAGGCGAATGAGAAGAAAAAAAGGATATACAGTTTTACCAAACTGTATAAAGCTTTTGGGGAATTCTTTTGTATTTACATATCTAACACCTGTTAAAGCGGTTTTTTATACGTAACAACATGTGTTTGGTTTTTTAAATAACTTGCGTTCAATTCATTCGCTAAGCAAATGAGTCGAACAAGAATAAATTTTTGCTCTCGATATATAAACGAGCTGAACAGGAACAAAGATTTGTTTGTTCGTGTTCTACTCATTTTGACTCGAAATAATTAAATTCCACATACACACATATATAAGTGATGAGTATTATTTTTAAATATTTAAATTGGCTACAATGCTATAAAGATTTATATCAATTAAAATTATTAATTTAAAAATAGAAGAGACACATGGTAAATTCTATTTAAATGCATATTTTTAATATAAATAATAAGATTTAAATCTAACCCCTACGCATAACATCCTACATTTGCGTGATAAGGGACATAAAAAAGGCACAAATTATTGTGTAGTAGGTGTGGTAGGTGTTGAATTATTGTGTGGTAGGTGTGGAATTATTTGTAACCATTGGATTGTAATTGTGGTGGCACAATCCTAGCCATTAATTTAGGAGGTGTCACTAGTATAAATAGGGGTGGAGTCTTTGAGTTTGTATCAAGCCAAGTAAAGGTGATAAATAAGAGTGAAGCTTCTTCCATAAGTTGTGTTTTTAGCCTTTGTCATTTCCTAAAAGCTTTTCCATTCCAACAAGAAGAAGTGTTTGGCGCCACAAGCATCCATTATAATAGGATCACCTTGTCTATTTCGGACACCTTTCTGTCAGCTTTACGTTTCAGACCGCCATCACAGTTTTGTTAAAGAAACTATTTTCTAACAGCTTCCTAAAAATTTATGTGGAGTGAGGTTACTTTTTGCAACAAAAATTATTCAAGTGTGATGACTGTAAGAACGCTTTTATATTACTTTTTAGGATAATTCTCACCACAACTTTCTCAAAAGTTACTTCCTCACCATAACTTTACAACCATCTTAGCAAAAAATTGAAGCCTCCCCAAACACAAGCTTAATGTTATTGTGCTGATTTATATGTTAATGAGACTATATAGCTCAACTCAGATAATGCTGTAGATTGTTCTCCGAAAATTTGCTTCTATTTATTGCTTCAAAGATCATACAGTTAGGATTTTTATTTAGCTAGTGCCTAAGTTCCATAGTTGTATACATTATTCATGAAAAATTGTTAAGAGATAGGATATAGTAATAAACGGGAAAGAAGAAAATATAGCTCCAGTTTTCTTTTAATTACCAGATTCTGCGTCCCCCTTTTCCCATTTTTGCATGGAGCTCCGGCAAGGCTCTAAGTTGCCGCATTGCCTTTGTATTAGTCTTGCCCAGCAAGGATGTATCAGATTACATCATGAACCTCCAAATCTGTGAAACCAACCACACCAACACCAAATATTAGTCCCAAGCTAACTTGGAAGAAGGAAATTTCAGGTGAACTTCGGATACAGCAACGAATGGATTTATATTATGGCAGCTTATCAAGATAAATATGACCTAACAGCAATTATATAGGATCAAAATCATGAATTAATGGACCACTAAAAATTGAGAAAGACGGAGACTGGGCACGAGGTATCACCATGGAAACTCCACGTGAAAACAGTACGTTTAAGTTCTTATTACAAAGCTAACTTTGTTAATAGATTTCAGTGATATGTATGTAAATATGAATGTTTAGCCGTTAGATATGTATATAAAATAGATTTATGTGGTATGTCTGTAAATGCTATGAAGATAAAAATAGAAGCATGCAAATATATGACAATGCCACAAAATAACTTGCTTATAAACACTCTAAAATACCAAAATCATAAAATACTAATGGCCAACGAGATAATAAAAACTACAACTAATTTCTCCGTCATTTATAGTTGGCCCATCTAAATATGATATTTTACATTTAGCATTTTAGAAAACTTACATGATTTCATTTTTAAAATCTTAAAATTTAAACTTTGGAATTTGCTAGAGAATGGATATTCACCGTATTCTTTTCTATAAACAATATTTCATTTGTTAAACATTCTGATTTGTAATTTAAAAAGGATTTCGTTAGATGAATTAAATTTAAAATCCTTACGTTAATTTATTCTATTTTTAGGCCAAAAGAGTTAAATTTCATTGCTAGTTTGCAAACCAATAAAAAATATTTGAAATCTCTTGCTGCTATGTTTAGAAAAATAGGAAAGACAGGTGCAATGACAAGCAATGAATCAATCCTATGAAGAGAAACAAGAATGAAGCAGCAATTGAAGAAGAGAACAAAGATTCAGACATAGCCTTAATAGTTTAAGTAGAAAAAAATGAAGACTTATCACTACGTTGACAATGATGAGATAAATGATTTATTATATTAGGAGTCGGATATCACATTTGATGAATTGATTAAAGAGTCAGAAAAATCGATAAAGAGGCATATTGGCTCCAAAAACAAATCAAAATCCTAAAATTGTCTCATTAATTTTTAAGAGAATGACAATAAAATTTTCAAGCATGATAGTGATGACTTACATGATAAATAAGATTTAAGTTCTATGGTTGCATATAAAGATGAAAAGATTTGGGCGGAGATTAGCGGCATAGCCACTATGTCAAATTAACATTATAACAATTTGGGTGGTTTTTCTAACTGAAGTGAAAATAAAATCGCAAGAAGATTCAAGAACACAAGAGATTTACGAGGTTCAGCAATGTGCTTAAGTCATCAGGAGCAGAGTGGCGGTTCCTATTCCAGAAGTGAAAATCGGTTCCCATAGGGAAACAAACTCTTTTGATTACCTGCACTAAGGTACGTCATACTCGCATGCCATTCTTAACAACACTTATTCTAATTGCCATACAGTTAATCGTGACGACACATTAGGTTAATCACATACAAAAACTTTGCAAAAATATTTTACAGCTTCCTAGTCTGGTTGGTTACTGTTCTACAGAAGTGAACACCTACCGTTCATGCAAGAGACGGTTGTAAATTGATCTGTGACAACTTAGTCTTGATTCTCCGTCTCCGGTTACAAACACAAACTAATAACTCAAGCTTAATGAGTGTCAAGCCTAGTGCATAAGTTCACATCAAGCAGAGTAGATCAATTTTCTATTGGATTTCAATTTTCAATTCAAATTTAAAATTCTAGCTGAGACAAGCTAGCATTTTAATAACTCAAAAAAAAAATACCAAAATACCAATTTATTTAAGATGATTGCAATAGATTTTGAATTAACTTGTTTAGGCACGAACATGCTTACATTCCTATAATATTTGCGTACATAAGATGTACGCAGCGCTGCGTACATCAGAGGTTATTCTGGGGGTACAGTGGAGTTATATCCGGGTTATACCCCCTTGGGTTATACCGGAGGTTACAAGGGGGTATAACCCAGATATAACCTCCATTGTACCCCTGAATAACCCCTGCTTGATGTGAACTTATGCACTAGGTGACTAGGAGGAGAAATATGTAGTTTCGTTGGTCTCTCAACGCCTCGATCTCGTCGTCGCCTTCCCCGCTGGCTCTAAAAATGACTTTGTCCCGAGGTTCAATGACAGAGGCAATGGTTTTGGACAAAATCGAAAGAGGGGGAGGGACATGAGCCTAGTTTTCAGGCATGCGGAGAGGAAGGTATGGGGAGAAGGGCAACAATCCATGTCGGCGAGGGTTACGTACTTAGGGCTGCGTATATACCTTATACGCTTCTATTTTCATAGGGGTATAAAGCCAATATATTCCTCAATACTCTAGCTAACCTAAACTATCTTACCTACACAGCGCTGCGTACTTGTTACTCCTCGCTAGGAGAGGAATTGATATTTACCCTATTAATTTAAATTTACTATTGATTAATTGATTAATTGATTAATTGATTAATTGATTAATTGATTAAAAATTAAAAATTGGTTAATATATTATTAGATTTAAAAATACAATGCATATCAAATTTTTTTCTTATTATTTAAGAAATTATAAGTAATTTTTTTAATATAATTAATAACTAAATAATTATTAAATAATTGCTTGATAAAAAAAATTTGTTTCATATAATTTTTATTAAAAATTAATTGTTTAGTGAATAATTAATTATTAATTAGTCAGATCAAATTGATCAAATCATATACCTAGTCACCTAGTGTAGGCCGACAAAAAAAAAATGATGTGTTTCGAGTGAGGGGTAAGAAATGTGAAATAATATTATTGTATATAAGGTTGTAAACGAGCCGAGCTTGAGCGAGCTCATGTTCGGTTTGTTTGAAATTGCTCGTGTTCGAAATCGGCTCGTGAACAGCATGCTCATGCTCTGCTCGAATTAGATATTTGTGTTCGTGTTCGGCTTGAAATTGACTCGTTAAAATTAAATTGTAAAAAATGACTGTAGAGTATTGGATTCAAACCTGGATCAAATATATGCAAAATAAAACACATAATCATGTTACCGCATGAGCTATTACGATTTAAACTTAAACATAAATATACAAAATATATTATTATATAAATATTATATGTAACTTATTATTATATAAATAATTATATAGTTTCTTTATTTCGAGCTAAAATGAATCGAACACGAGCAAATAAAGAGTTGTTCGTGTTCGGCTCTTTTATAATTTGAGCCTTAAAAACATGTTCGTGTTCAGCTCGTTTCCTACGAGCTACATAGCAAGCCAAACACATTATCTCGAACAACGAACATTTTTGACAGCCCAAATTTTATACCCTACATCTACATCAGTACTTTTAAATACTAATATCACAGTTCTTCTACATATTGCCATTGACAGCACTTTTAAATAGTGCCACCAGATAAGCATTGCAAGAAAATATTTTCTCAAGCCAAAAAAATGGGTGTCCAGTCATCGTTGAACTCGTCACATGCTTGTGATGCAAGTTACAGAATTGAATTTTGAATACTACGTTGAGTCGGAGAGATCACAATAGATTTTGGTCCATTTCTATGTCGTTGGATTAAGTTCAAATTCATGTTTAATTGAAGTATATTTAAGTTTATTTTTTTGTATTATTTGAGCCAAAACAAGCCCTTTGAAGTCAACCCAAGCCCAAAGTCAGACCAAGATCAACCACCAAAGGATACTAGGAAGGAACATATGCCGAGATAGGGGAATGGTGATCGGGAGAGTGTTGACCAAAAATGTGGTCAACATTATAATTTTTTTTTTAGGACGAGTGCCAGAGACTGAAGGAGGCTCGGAGTCGGTGCTTACGAGTTCCTAACTCTGGTGGTGATCAATGGACTATAAGCATTACGAGAAGCATTGAGGGTAAGAAGAAATGAGGGATTTATGGCTTTGGATAACAGAGACATGCATATGACGCACAACGCCACTTTTTTGGGTAGAACTCTAGATCTATCAGGGACAATGAAGTTCGTAGATAGGTCTCAAATTTCACTAAAGATAAAGAGACTCGAGTTGCCACTCAGTTCATTTAAATGGAGGTGAGAATGAAGATGGAATTAGAGATGATGCAAAGTGAGGATCATCGGAGAGGGAATCATCCTATGGAGGTGGAAGAGGAGCATGAGAATGAAAATGAGAAGTCCAGAGGAAGATGAGGATTTCTTTCATTTATTGTCATGAGATATTTAAGTACTAATTATGTACTTTTTTATGCACACGTTATTTTCTTTTATATTTATTCAATAAATTATAATTGCATTTATTTTCAATTTGTGGTTCTCTTTATATGGTTCTAGTTTAGTAGCTATGTGGATAGGTAAATTAGATTGTGTGATGTATATGTCATATGTTTTTGTAAAGCAATTAGAGGTGTGGAAATTAAATTGAAACGAATGAGGTTTTCTATCTTTTTAGTTACAACTTTCTGACAGCCAAACAATGGCTGGGCTATCGATTTCGGCTAACAGACAAGTCATGACCATTGAATCCTAAACCAATGGTAAAATGATAGGAAGCCATGATATGCATGAACCAACAGGTATGCCACCACCAAAAACTAAATTGATGGGATGATGTCTGTTGAAATGCTGTAAAAAAGGTAAGTTCGTCGAAATGTCGTCAGAAGATGAATTTCCAACCATCATAAATGAGGCGGTCATATACCTATCAAAATGTTGATATTTATGTGTACTCAGACCGCCAGAAATCAACTAAAACCATATAGTGCAAAAAAAGACCGAACAATGAGCATGCCTAACAATATGAAACTAAATTATTAGTAATAAAAAATTGAATGGTCAGAGCTATTTTCCAACCAACCTTCACCTTCTAATCTAAATAAGATATTGCCAACTTAGCTTTCATTATTAATTTACATCAATGATGTACTATATTATCAAAGATATTGGGACATGAGCCAATAATTAGGTGCATATCAACTATGTTGGCCAGTGTAATTGAATGGTTGACTTAGTTTGTTAATGTACACTTTTCACTTTAGGCATCTCAGACTTGCTTTGTTCTAAATAAGCTTGCAACCTAACTGATTTTATTTTATTCCTACACTTTGGCAAATGAGTTGGAATTAGGCATAAATGAAGATATGATATACAAATTTAGAATGAACCTCAGATTTACTAGATTTACTCTGAGATCAGTGTAATAAAAATTTGACTCATCATCGACGCATTGAACTCATCCTAAATGAACTAAATGATTTTTAAATTTGTTCTAACCAATAAATTGCTCAAATGGTGGCCCCATGAAAGGGAGGTGTGAGTCAAGGAGGTGGTGAGGTAACTGACAAGTCATCAGGATACTTTAGACATGCCATTAAACTTGATTTAATTAGCCTAATTAATCTTGCAATCAGTGCTAATAAAGAGTAATTAAGCTGGATCAAGATCTATATATAGCCTACTCCATCAACATATCCATAGCTCACTCAAATAGAAGCAAATTAAGAATGGCGACTGCTGCGAGCACTAAAGTTCCCGACAACGTGATGCAAGAAACCTTAGAAGCTCATGCCATTCTATGGAACCAAACCTTTAGCTATATCAAATCCATGTCTCTAAAATGCGCCGTTGAACTTCACATCCCCGACGCCATCCACCGCCATGGCATGCCGGCCACCATTTCCCAACTTCTTGCCTCTCTGTCCATCTCTCAAGACAAATTTCACTACCTTCGCAGCACCATGCGCGTCCTTTCCCAAGAATGCATCTTTAAATCCCACATCACCCCCTCCGGCGAAGAAACCTTTGACCTCACCCCTGTCTCCCGCCTCCTCCTCACTGCAAGCTCCTTTCCCCACAACCCTAACACCTCCCCTTTAGTTCTCTTAAGTCTCAACCACCGCATTGTCGACTCGCATCATCAACTCTCTCGTTGGTTCCTTGAACCGAACGCTACCATAACACCTTTTGCGATGGCAAACGGAAAGGCGGTCTGGAATCTAGCAATGGAGCTACCGCAGTTTAACGATTTGTTTGATAAGGCAATGGAATGTGATTCCAACTTTCTTATGAATGTTATGGCGAGTACTGGAGAGGGGTCATTTCGGGGGATTGGAACATTAGTGGATGTTTGAGGTGGTACTGGCTTGATGGCAACTGCATTGGTGGAGGCATTTCCTGGGTTGAAATGCATTGTTTTTGATCTACCACATGTCATTGGTACGGTGGAGAAGAAGACGAACATGATTCAATTTGTTGTCGGTGACATGTTTGTCGAGATCCCACAAGCCGATGTTGTTATGCTTAAGGTAAAGAGAAAAATAAAAACCATTTGATATGTTTTATTTCTTATATTTTATTAAATAAATGGTTCATTTACATCTAATATTATTTATTATAATTAAATTATTAAATAATATTAATAAATTTAAAAGATAAATTTTATACCCTATTTACATACATCCATGCATTTATGTGTTTAAATAATTAACACCTTTTTTTTTTAATAGGTATAATACACATACATTACCAAAAAAAAAAATTTCGCACTTATTAACTTTTTTTAATACTAATTATATTTTTTTATTTATGACTTTATGCCATCAATGGTTATAAATGTGCATATCAAACATTAGGAGTTAGGTGGATGTGAATACGCATAAGCATGGTATGGTACGTGTGTTAATTGTTCGAATATAATCAAACTACTAAGGTCAAAACTTTAAAAATGTCATTTTTTATTTCTTATTTTATATCTACAAAGTCATCGCATCACGGGTGTTGAAGTGTAGGGGTGTAGACGAGTCGAACACGAGCGAGCCATGCTCAGCTGGTGTTCGGCTCGTTCATATTTCGAGCTCAAAAGGTTTGTTGTCCGGCGCTTTTTTTTAACGAGCCGAACACGAGCTATTCACGAACAAATAGTCCTTTTAACAGCCCTAATCCGTAGCCATAATACGATAAAGGGTTTGAGCAAGATTTAAAAATTATTATTTATATTAAAACAACATTTGAATCTAATTTAAGAATTTTTACTTTATTTAAAGCACCCTCCTTTATATATATATATATATATATATATATACACTTGATGAGTAGTATTTCTAGCCAAAATGAGCCGAACACAAGCTTCTTAACGACTCGAACACGAGCTGTTTGCGAACAACAGGCCGTTTTGCCAGCCCTATTGAAGTGGCAACTTTGTAAAAAAAAAATTAAGTATTTTAGTTTATTTAAGAAAATACACGTTTTTTTTTTGAGAAAATAAAAACATTCCAAACATTTGTTTCTTAATTTTTTTAATTTTTACTTTTATTTTAAAAAGCTTATTTAGTACAAATTTACAAGTCTTTTAATTTAATTTAAAAAATAAATTAAATAATTTAAAAAAACATTCAAAACATTTAGAAATAATTATCTTGAGTGTTATTAAAATAGTTAAATATGTAGCAATGGTACTAAAAATACATATATATTTAAAATTGTTCAAAATTAAAAACATGTAAAAATTGCACAATTTTTTTAAAAAAATAAGCAAAAAAAAAACAAAGAGACCCCAAACAAATTCTCAGGATTTATTTAGGATGAATATTGTTTTTATTTTTTAAACATAATTTTTTGTGTTTTTTTATGTATTTTTATTCTTTATTTCTAAAAATACAATACACTCAAAATAATTTTTATATGTTTTGAATTTTTGTAAAAACAACCATATATTTAATCAATTCTATGAATCATATTTTATTTTAAGTCAAAATAAAAAAAATAAAATAAACTAAAATAATTTAGAAAAAAATTTTATAATGTCGTCACGTCATTAGTGGCTTTGCCTGCAGACATAAAAAAATTGGTAACTTTTACCGACTGATGTGATAAAATTGCCATCGATATTCAAAAAAAATTATTTTTTCAAGTGTCAAATTAAAATAATAAATTTTAAAAAATATATAATTTTAAAAATTTAGCCACATTTAAATCATATCATTAAATATTTAGGCATTCAAAGATATAATCATGTGAGAGTAGGTTTTTACATGATTTTACCAATACATAATAACATTTAGTCCTATTGCACATGCTTGGGATATAGATAAAAATTATAAACTTTGTTTAATCAAATTGTGACGTATTTTCATATTATATAGTGGATATTGCATGATTGGAATGATGAAGATTGCGTCAAGATACTACAACGTTGCAAAGAAGCAATTCCTCCTAAAGAGAAGGGTGGAAAAGTGATTATAATTGACATAGTGGTTGGTTTGAGCTTCAACTCTCATTCTTCATTGCAGACACAACATCTCTTTGACTTACTTATGTTGGCTTTGTTCATGGGAAAAGAAAGAGATGAAAGTGAATGGAGCAATCTATTTGTCACTGCAGGTTATAGTGACTACAAGATAACACCATATGTTGATCACATGAGATCTATTATCGAAGTCTTTCCTTGATTAATTATTAATTGGCTTCAAGTCTTATTATTAGTATATATTACGGAGCTTATTATGATTACTTTACTTCTTTTATTTCATGATAAGAATTAAAGCAAGTAGTGAAGGATTATGTACCTTTGGCTATGGTCGAGCATTGTGATTGTTGCTATTATTTTCTAACTAATCCCATATTGATCTATTAAAAAGTTTATAGGATAAAGAATATGAAGCTATAAGAATTACATACTAAAGAGCTAATGAAGTCTAAAGCAAAATATATTTTTAATCTAAGAAAGGAATTTGCATAATAAATTGGATGCAAGTATTTGAAGATAATTGGCTGATATTATATTCAACAATACTGGTATTTCTGACCAACACAAAATTATATGAAATGAAGATCATGATTGTAATGTTTTCATTAGGTATTTGCTACAATATATATATATATATATTTGTAAGACCAATATGTGTTTTGACAAGTGATGAATATGTTGGTTAGATAAAGCTTTGCTTATTCTGATGTTGTGTTGATTCTTTTAATATTGACAAAATACAATTTTGATTATGATAATGATTATATTATTTGATGAATGTTATATGAATTCATAGTAACACTAATGTAGGGCTGTCAAAATGGCTCGTTGTTCGCGAACAGCTCGTTTTCGGCTCGTTAATTTCGTTCGATAAGTTAACAAGCCGAACACGAACAAAGATGTGTTCGTTCGTGTTCGCTCGTTTTGGCTCGAAATAATACTCATCAAGTTTATATATATATATATATATATATATATAATTATGCGAGTTCGTTGTTTGAGTGTATGGTTTTGTATATTGTTCTCTTGGGTAGGGTTAGGGCTAGAATTTTGGATGTTTTAATATAAATAATAATTTTTAAAGTTTGTTCAAACTTTTATTGTTTTATGGCTACATGATTAGGGTTGTTAAAATGA